GTTTTATCACGGGATATTCTGTGCTGTCAATAAAAATCCAAGTCGTAGGAAACTTTAATTTGAAGTTGGATGGCGAAAAATGCCTGACTAAACCACTAGATGGCCAAGTGTTAGCCTCACACCACTGTTTAGGCATAAAAACAATCCATGTATACACAATATTCTTAACACTAGATTCAATCTAGAATCTAGAAAGTTCAAAGTTAGTTGTATAATGCCTCAATTTCATCAAAGTCATAAAAAAACTGATTTTCAACTGACACCCTATCAATTTGAAAATATATGTATCTCAAACAATGTGCTATTGAACCAAGTGTGGTCAAAACAAATAAAAATTTAGTATACAACTCTAAACTGGTATAAAAATGCATGGCTGTGTCACGTGTCTTCATTTCAAAATTCTCTGCTGAAAACATAGACATTGATGGTGTTTGCGTAATTCCATCTTTGAAGCTCAACATTAGCTCGGCAGTTGGTGGTGGACAGTCATAAATCCTTTCTGCAGTATGAATGACTTCTTCAGGAAAACCAACTTTACAATCAAAACTTTCCTCTAGATTTCTACTACAATATTCATCAAGTTTAGTTCTTTTGTTTTCACAGGAAACTGCCCTGATTTTTCTTTTTGTGGACGATTCAGTCTCTTGCTTGGTCCAGGAAAATAGGCTGGGAATGGCAGTAGACTTAAGTCTCTGTATGGTGGGTTTGCGCCCTGAAAAAGGTTATAAAACATTAGTTTTTTGATAATTAAATGAACTTCCATTAGCAATGTATACTTTGTATTACCTGGCGAAATATTAACTAGATTTATTCATTACAATCTGGATAAAACTATGTTTGCCTGATTCAATGTATGTTATGTAAATCCAAAGGACAAACAATGAGAGACTTATGCAACAAAAGTACATTGTTTGTACCTAAATAACTATAATATTGATGAGAGCATGTCATTGTTTTGTTCCTGTTAACATTGTCATTGATATTTTTCAAGAAAGTCTATGAAGCATAGCTTATGCATTCCTGTCATTACTACATTAGCATAATTACTGCTAAAATAATTCTCAGTATGATATACCTCTTGTAAGAAATCATTATAACTGTAGCAATCACCAAAAAATCTCAAACAGATCACATTGAATCGTAATCCAAAAAATTATGACGTCTTGAATTAACGGGTGCAGGTCGTTTCGTAACCTGGTCGTTTCATACCTAGTCGATTCGTAACTAACTATGTTGTTTTGTAACTGAGACGTTTCGTAACCTTATAACAATATATCATGATATGAGTTGTAGGTTATGGAAAAAATGTTGAATAAATATTTTTATTAAAAATATAAAAAGACTTATTGATATATATAACATTAACAAAGGACAACATAATGATGAATCTCAAAGAAAGAAAAAAAAAATGAGTAAGTTAATGTTCTAAAGGAAGACGATTTACAAAAAAAAAAAAGAAAAAAAAACTTGAACTGTGCCAACGCCGGTACCAAGCCCGGGTGAAAAAGGAGGACGGTTATGCAATTGCATGTCAAAGTGAAGAAAAAAAAGTAGAAAATAATTATTTTTTTCAGGTCATGTGCCATTTTTAATCCTCTACGTAATCCCTTGACCCCTTATTACTTATAATCACCTGTCAATAGCTGTCATAAAACCATTAAGGTTCAACACCAGGCATAATCACCAATTAGCCAAGAATTAAATAATTTAATAATTTAAAACAGTTTTAAATTATTACAATATTGTTATTATTCGATGCATACTTTGATCATTTTTCAATAAAAAAAATATATTAAGTATGCAGAACTGTGATAAATAAATAACTTTTAGTTTAATTAAATTATTTCCTGTATTATATGAAAAAAAAACACTAAGAGATCTACACTTCCACTGTTCCAGAGACAAAACTAGTGAATTAATTTATATATATTGCCTTTAACTGTTGAATTTAGACAAAACAAATAGAGACACACTTTAAAACCATATATAATTACACCAGGTATGAAACGTCTCAGTTACTAATCGACCTAGTTACGAAACGACCAGGTTACGAAACGACTAGCATTCGAATTAACCACCCCCTTTTATTCTAAAACGATAATTGCGGTTGTAAACAGACTTTGGTTTATTCGCATGGCGAATACATATATACCTATATATTTCAAAAAGAAAATAGAGTTTTACCATGAATAGTTTCCTGCACGTAGTCTTTTTCAGTAAAATGTGCCTTGCAAACAACAGCTGATTGAGATGGACTCCACGATGAAATCGTGTTCTCGTCCAATCTGCGTTTGGGCCATGGCGTTGATCCAACTTTTCCTTCTTTTAAAGTCATTTGGAAATGCATGTCCTCCTCTTAAATGACATCCAGGTACACAACAACAAGTACTTGGCATCGTTAATTTAAAATGTAACTGAAATAGTTGCACAGTGCAGAAACCGGAAGTTGAGGAACAGGATCGGCTACCACGGCGCCACCTATTCAGGAACGATAATTTGCTACTTTATATAACTGCGAAATAACAATAACGTTAGACGGGTTCACGTGCATAAACAGAAATGCGCTTTAAATTGTATAATATAATTAATGTTCAGTCGACTCTTAATTATTATATCAACGACTGAAATGATTTATAAACATCTAGATTGCAGATAACACTCGAAATTAACCCGAGCTCTTTCCACACGGAATTCAAATAATTCTAGTTTGTCAATCGGTTGACTGCTTATAATGCAAAATACAAATATATCAAAAGTTTTTAAAACTAACAAAACACAATGATCGTTTCTCTATTTCCCAATGTAAATGAAATGAAACAAAAAACATTTTATATCACAATAAGAAGAGGAGAGAATTCAACATTTCCGGATCTACTTGGAGCCTAATGACCCCCCCACGTAGATAAGTTGGATATCGCGGAAGGAAGGATTAACCCGGCAACTAGAAAGGCATTAAAGCACTGCCTTTAAAAAACAGCAGTTAAAGTGTTTTTGCCTGATATATACATGTATTTCTTTTAACATTTCTTAAGCAAAAAACAAATGTCAAATATGATGGCTTGACTGAGATTTTTTCTGAATTTTTTAATTGTTGATACTTAAGAAGTTTTTTCATTATATTTAATATTCAATCATGCTTAATTTCAGTACGGAAAATCTTAAACAACAATTGAAATGATTTTAATTCAAGTTTCATGTGTATCTGCAGATGGCGAACATAGAAGGGAAGACATTTATTGCAGTTAGTTAAATTGGTAAATTCGAACACTGAATTGTTACACCAAACTGGCATAATTATTATTGATAACATAATACCTGAATTTGTGATAACTGTTGTTTAAAAAAATCATAATCATTGTCTAGTAAGACGAGTTTCTTAATCAACAGTTTTGTTGATCTGATATACTATCTCCTGATGTAGCACTTGTAACCTTGGCAATATTTAAAAAAGGAAGGTTGAGGTAATAAAAAAATTGGGTGGGGGTGAGGTGGGGGATGCACATTATATTTTTTAATTTGATATGAAGAACATGTGAAAAGTTTATAAAGATAAACGTGCTAAGAATATTTTAGTTTTAAGAAGGTTGAGAAATTGTTGAAATGTATAGTTTATGAAATTGCGAACTTTATTCATATATTATCTCTATACTAGTACTGTACGATTTAAATGTTATACCTTCTTTGTGTTTTTATCAACAGACTACATAAAAGTACGCATAATACTCATTTGGTAATTCAAGGTAAAAGAATACACAAACAATACTTGTTGATTCTCTCTTGTGAAAAAAATTCTGTAATTCAGTCATACATAGAACAAAATTTTAACTTTGTTGTTACCATAGCAACTATATTACTGATATTAAATAGTTAAACTTTATATCAATTTTGTTCTTCATTGTATTAATACAATGTTACACTAGTAATAATGTATTCACGTTGATTATTTAAGGTTTAATCTATTGTTAAAAGTACACAATACATAAAAAAAGGATAAAATATGTAAACAGCTGATATTTTAGCTTAGTCGGCATACCATTTTATGACGTCATAACAAGAAAACGGCAAAAGATAACTATTAAATCCTTGGTGTTTTATAAGCTCCATATCGTAGATATCATTTGAAAGAAATATCAATAGATTTGGAAGTGGGGCCAATTTTGCCCCTTAGAGCCCCTTCTCCTTTAAAAAATCCCACCTGCGCTTTCTCAATAATATTTTTACAGTGTGTTGTACTACTTTTGGGACAAATATCAAAATTATAGAAAAATTCATAAGCTCTAACTCAAAATATGGACAATTTTATGTTATGGGGGTATTGAAATCTTTTGACAGCTTCTGAAATGCTAATTTTTAACCTTTTTCAGCTGGACCAAATCACTACTTTAAAATTCATGACCCAATTTTTTTTGCAGTGTAATTTTATCCCACTACTTGCTATTTGAGGCATAAAACATGAAGAAATAAATTTGGAAGGGGTATAAAAAAATTGGCAAGTAACACACTGTCCACACTAGGGACTATATTTGTGGACAACGAAAATCTAACAACGATAACTGTGTTCATGGACCATTTAATAATTCCTAATAAAGACAAACAAATCAGATTTACCTTTAGTTAACATGGATGGCTTGATTTAACTAAAAGATATTAATTGATTACAGTATAAGGAGTCAACTTATTTTGCAAATTTTGCAAATTCTGCAAAAATGCTTGATTTTACAGAAATCTCTTCAGCTAAATGAGTTGTCTTAAGATTGAAAATCACACTAACTTTTTGTATTTTTTTGTGAGACTTTAGTTTTCTCAAATTTGGCAATTACTTTTTTTTTTGTGATAAAAGGGGGGGAGGGGTACAAACTTTGATGACGTTAGAAAAACATTGTGTCAAAATTACAAAATTAATTTTAAATCATTTCAAGCATGATTTGGTTGTTTAAATAATTATTTAGACAAAAATAAAGTACAATGTCAGAAAACGATTTAAAGTCAACTGCACATACCTGAGGTAGAAGGACTTGCCAAGTAAGTCTGGCGACTAACTTTTTTATCTGGTTGTTTGATTATTGTTGAAGAGCCAGTAACTGCAACAGCAGTATACAATGTCTGTTCTGTGTCATTGGTTTCTACAAATGAAATAATAAGTACATTTTTATAATAATGCTACACATATATATTACATAGGCATGCATGGAATAGTATTCTCCAGAGCACAACATATCAGAATATACACCACTTGCAAATAAACAATATATACACATAACTACAAACCTGCATGGAAACCTTTTTAACTACTTTAATGTAATGCTTTAATTTTTTTAATTTTTCATAGTGGTATTCTATATTTGTAAAAATCTATACAAAGCAAAATTCAATTTCACAAAGGTACAAGTGTATAAGCATAACTGACCCAAATTAAAGAAGGTGTAATATTATATGTTATGCAACATATATACTCATTACATGTTAATGTTTTCTTAATATTTTGAGTAATCCATTAAAATGCGCCTTTTATATCCTGCCATTTTTTTCCGTCAATAAAGTTTTTAGATTTAATGTTTTGTGTTTGTATGTGTGTGTGGCTTTGTTTTTTATAACACATACATAGAAAAACCCAACCTGATATGTTCAGCATATGTGAAGTATTATGTAATTTGCTGTGAAAATAATGTTATCGTGTATGTAATAATTTATAATAATACTTTAAAACATTAAATTTAAGTATTTGAAGTGGATGCACTTCAGTTTTCCCTCTGTGAGCCTCTGACATTCTTTAGTGTTCTGTATAGCTTTTGGCTACATCACATAGTAACAGGTGTTATGGTAACGTTTTTGAGGGTCCAATTGGGGATGAAAACTTCGTATATACCCTGGCAGTTTCATAAATATATACTGACATGTCTGTGTTGTTATCCAATCACAAAACTCCACACATGTGTAATCCCGTAATATATGAATATAATTACTTTGCTTTAGAATGTTCTTTGTACTTAGAAAGGCAAACGGTCTAATACATAATTTGTAGGATAAAAAGACACATAGTATCTTGACATGTAATTCAAACACATGCACAAAGGACATACCTTTTGCAGTAGTCCTGTAATTTAGCATTGGTGCTTATTAAAATCTTACAGTTTATGGTTTCTAAATTAATAGTCACAAACCTCTTAAAGGCAAATCTGCGCTTGATCCCCATGCTTCAGCAGCTGTTCCTGGATTTTCTGAAACACAAATGCAGGATATAAAAATATTTTAATGTACTGATTAAATTTAGTTTCCTGCATTTACATCAATAAATTTGAACAAACACTTCTTCATAGTCATAAAAAAATTAAGATAGAAAATATTTTGAAATTATTGCTTTTAATTTCTCCGCTTTACTGAAAAAAAGTTTTTTTTATATTAAGTATTATATATCCTAATGTTGTATAAACAGAACTTTGTGGCATAGTCCAAACAATAAACATTTATAACACTTGATATTACCATTGCCAGGCAGATTCAGAATGAACTTAATATTACTATGTGAAAGTAAAGAGATGTGGTTATACTAACTTGGAACAATTTGTGATCCTTGCTGGACTATTGCTTTCTTTGGCTTTGCTGAAAAATGTAAAATTTGCATATAGTTCAGAGGTTGACTTAACAAAATTAAAAAGTATGGCCAATAGGGCCAGTTAGAGCGTAAATTTACTGGCCCAACTCAAATAAAATTTGCCCTAATAATACTTTCTAAGTGAAAATATAGTCAAATGTAATGGCCAATGGGGCCAGTAGTCTTTATGTTCAACTGACCCTATCAAAATTCTACTGGCCTTGGGCCAGCGGGCCAGTGCTGAAGTCGACCCCTGTAGTTGTGTCAAAGTGATTAGCATTATTAATTTAACTTAAACATGTTAAGTATGTGTGACTGTAAAAGTCACCAAATAATTATGGAACTTGTGAGTGGAATAATGATATTTCTGGACAAATTTTACGGCTTGAGTTATTTATAGATCTATATGCTAATAAAAAAAAAATAAAACAGAAATAAAAAAAAATATAAATCAATTGTTTTAAAAACAATTGTTAAACGGTCTTTCCCCTCCGAAACATGATTAATTGGTTTTTTGGTTGGTTGGTTGGTTGGTTGGTTGGTCGGTCGATCGGTTGATTGATTGATTGATTGATTGCATGGCACTTTCTCTGTGCGACGCAGCTAACTTAAATAACGCCTATATTCTGACCGAACGTGACTGCGTACTTAGACATCCCGCACAGCCAAACGGACGCCTGAGATGACCTCATAAAAATTGATCCTAGCATCATTCGTTTATAAATTTTCTCTAGTTTCTATGTTACCTCGGACTTCCATTTGTCATCTATTTGTTGTGTATGCATTTTGATTGAATTTGTAGGAAAACGGAGTAAATTTTATCTTGGAAGTTTTATTTTCCTTATTTGGATATGCAATGTTTTATTCTAAATTTAGGTCCGCACGGGAGATGGTGTTGTGAAGTCACGTGACCCTCGAAAATATATGTCTGGAGTTAGAATATTAATTTCTTTTCAGGGGAGACTGTTGAACAGAGCACATGTGTATTGATTAAAGAAACACGATAACTATTGTTTTTATTTTGTACAGGTCATTGATGTAGGATCATGCATACATATTACGTACACATGTTTACGGGAGCACAGATTTGTATTTTAATGCATGTTTAGAAATTTGATTGTAGGATTTCAGTAATACATTGTTTTTAATTTCACAATCAAGCGGACCGCACGTGTCTCATCGATTAATTTCAGAAAATACATGAATTGGAGCAGATTTTTGCAGGGATGGATTTCTATTTCAGAAAGAAATTTGTACATAAGAAGGATTAGCATTTTACAGTATAATGTACGGGACTAAAAGCGATCTTCTTTTCTTTGAAATGGGATAATTTATAAAAATATCAGTTGAAAAAAAGGGGGGGGGGGGGAGTGTAGTGGTAGACTGTGGTTCATTATTGAGATAAGAAACATTTACAACATGATAGCTGCAAAGTTTGAAGTTTTGATAAGTAATTTGTTGATTCGACCATAACAGGGAGATTGACCCTGCAATAAAATGACGTGTACCATTTCGACAAAAAATTTCTAGTAAACACGTGTCGCGACAAACTTTTTGGTTAAATTGTTTTGTCGATATCTATAACTCTTTCTAGGAAGAAGCGATATGAACTTAATGTAAAAAATCACAACGTGACCTTGACATAGTTTTCTATTCTTTAGGACCAAGGACCTCAAATCAACAGACCCTAGGTCTCTATCACTTATGGTTTACCAGTTACAAATGCATATCACTTATTATAAATGCATTAGGGGAAATAACTCTCATATGGAGTCTTCGTATCGCTTCCGTCAAAATTGGACAAAAAATCCTGAGGATATAGCGAGCCATTTGGTAAAATAAATTTGTCGCTTTCTTTTACGGTTACAGAGGAGATGCAGTAACAAGGAAAACAGTGTTCAGGGAGATAACTCCTACAAAGAAAATTGTTCGGCTTAGAATGGGTGAAAATAAAAAGCGCATAAACTGTATGATACTATATAAGAAATATCTAAGCGACATCTTGCGAAACAAAAATTTTACTTGAGAACAAAATTAGGCGGAAGAAAAAAATAATAATAATAATAATAATAATTAAAAACCAATTGTTCAGAGAACAATTGAAGGTCTTTCCACCAAAAACCATGAATTTTAATATGAAAGTAGTAAAATTGGGTTAAAAATGTCATTTCAATGGTCAAATGATAGCTTATTGTACGCTGATTCCAAAAATATATGGTTTCTATACAATATTTTTTTTAAATAAGGGAGATAATTTGTTACTTCCGGTTTGAAAAATGATACTTCCGATACTATCTGAATATTTACTTGAAACTGATTCCAAAAATATCTGGTTCTATATACTTTTATATTAAGAAAGTACAAAATAAAGCTACTTCCGGTTTACACAAGGTCACTTCCAGTTGTTTTTTCAAGGTTAAATGGTTTGATACCTATTGCCAAATGTCTCATGGCTTTATCATGTATACATATGAGGTAAAAGCAAAGGTCAAAATCTAGAACGTCAAATTAAGCTATGACCTTGAGATCAATTTCAAGGTCATAAACCAAGGACCTCAAATCAAAAGACCATAGGTCTTAATTATATTTAGTTAATAAGTTATATCACCATATGCGTATTTTTAAATACAAGAGGGGAGAAAACTCCGTTATACGTTCAACGTACCCTTGCAATCAAAATTTACGTGTTACGACATGTCGCAAATAACAATTTAGTAAAAATAATTTGTCGATATCTTATACGGGTTTTGGAAATAAGTGAAAAAAAGCCAAATTCAAAATTTAAAATATGACCTTGACCTTTGACCTTGATCTAATTTTCATTTTTTTGGACCAAGGACCTCAAATCAAAAGATCCTAGGTCTCTATCACTTATGGTTTACAAGATAGAAATGCATATCATTTATATCAAATGCATAAGGGGAAATAACTCTCATATGGAGTGTTCATATTGCTTCAGACAAAACAGGACAAATCATGCAAAGGATATAACGAGCAATTTTATAAAATAAATTTGTCGCTTTCTTTTACGGTTACGGAGGAGATGTAGTCACAAGGAAAACAGTGTTCGGGGAGATAACTCTTACAAAGAAAATTGTTCGGCTAAGCATGGGTGAAAATAAAAAGCGCATAAACTATATGATACTATATAAGAAATATCTAAGCGACATATTGCGAAACAAAAATGTTACGCGAGAACAAAATTTGGCGGAAGAAAATAATAATAATCAGAACAAATACAATAGGTCTTTCCACAGAAAAGTGGAAAGACCTAATAAATATAAATCAATTGTGAAAAAAGCCAAATTCAAAATTTAAAATATGACCTTGACCTTTGACCTTGATCTAATTTTCATTTTTTTGGACCAAGGACCTCAAATCAAAAGATCCGAGGTCTCTATCACTTATGGTTTACAAGATAGAAATGCATATCATTTATATCAAATGCATAAGGGGAAATAACTCTCATATGGAGCGTTCATATTGCTTCGGTCAAAACAGGACAAATCATGCGAAGGATATAACGAGCAATTTTATAAAATAAATTTGTCGCTTTCTTTTACGGTTACGGAGGAGATGTAGTCACAAGGAAAACAGTGTTCGGGGAGATAACTCTTACAAAGAAAATTGTTTGGCTAAGCATGGGTGAAAATAAAAAGCGCATAAACTATATGATACTATATAAGAAATATCTAAGCGACATATTGCGAAACAAAAATGTTACGCGAGAACAAAATTTGGCGGAAGAAAATAATAATAATCAGAACAAATACAATAGGTCTTTCCACAGAAAAGTGGAAAGACCTAATAAATATAAATCAATTGTTTTAAAAACAATTGTTAAACGGTCTTTCCCCTCCGAAACATGATTAATTGGTTTTTTGGTTGGTTGGTTGGTCGGTCGTTCGGTCGGTCGATTGATTGATTGATTGCATGGCACTTTCTCAGTGCGACGCAGCTAACTTAAATAACACCTATATTCTGACCAAACGTGACTGCGTACTTAGACATCCCGCACAGCCAAACGGACGCCTGAGATGTCCTCATAAAAATTGATCCTAGCATCATTCGTTTATAAATTTTCTCTAGTTTCTATGTTACATCGGACTTCCATTTTTCATCTATTTGTTGTGTATGCATTTTGATTGAATTTGTAGGAAAACGGAGTAAATTTTATCTTGGAAGTTTTATTTTCCCTCATTTGGATATGCAATGTTTTATTCTAAATTTAGGTCCGCGCGCGAGATGGTGTTGTGAAGTCTTGGAAGTTTTATTTTCCCTCATTTGGATATGCAATGTTTTATTCTAAATTTAGGTCCGCGCGCGAGATGGTGTTGTGAAGTCACGTGACCCTCGAATATATATGTCTGGAGTTAGAATATTAATTTCTTTTCAGGGGAGACCGTTGAACAGAGCACATGTGTATTGATCAAAGAAACACGATAACTTTTGTTTTTATTTTGTACAGGTCATTGATGTGGGATCATGCATACATATTACTTACACATGTTTACGGGAGCACAGATTTGTATTTTAGTGCATGTTTAGAAATTTGAGTGTGGGATTTCAGTAATACATTGATTTTAATTTCGCAATCAAGCGGACCGCACGTGCCTCATCGATTAATTTCAGAAAATACATGAATTGGAGCAGATTTTTGCAGGGATGGATTTCTATTTCAGAAAGAAATTTGTACATAAGAAGGATTAGCATTTTACAGTATAATGTACGGGACTAAAAGCGATCTTCTTTTTTTTGGAAATGGGATAACTTAAAAAAAAAAATCAGTTGAAAAAAAAGGGGGGGGGGAGTGTAGTGGTAGACTGTGGTTCATTATTGAGATAAGAAACATTTACAACATGATAGCTGCAAAGTTTGAAGTTTTGATAAGTAATTTTTTTATTCGACCATAACAGGGACATTGACCCTGCAATAAAATGACGCGTACCATTTCGACCAAAAATTTCTAGTAAACACGTGTCGCGACAAACTTGATGAGAAGCTACATCCAGTTTACTAAAATTACTATTGGCGTCCAAGCTTTGGTTTCTTCATACTGATTCAATTAATATATGGTTTCTATATACTTTTGCCTGAAATAAGGGAGATAATTGCCAACTTCCGTTATCATTTAACAAGTTGGAGTAATAATCAATTAACCTTAAATTGAATCATTTCAGGGACAATAACTCCTATAAGATGTCATTGGATTGTTTCAGACCAAATGTATCATATCTTAATCACAATTAGGCAAACATTTTGCACTTGTTCTTTAATTTGTATCTTTAAAAGTGACAGAGGAGATCAAATAACAAGGAAAAGTCAAAATTTAGAATATGACCTTGACCTTTGACCTTGGCCTCAATTTCATTTAAATGAACCAAGGAAATCAAATCATAATACCTTAGGTCTCTATCACTTACCATTCATGCTATACATTTATATATCCCTTATGTCAAATACAGAAGGGGAAATAACTCTCATATGGAGTTTACGTATCGCCTCTGTCAAAATTGGACAAAACATCCTGAGGATATAACGAGCAATTTGGTAAAATAAATTTGTCGCTTTCTTTTACGGTTAAGGATGAGATGCAGTGACAAGGAAAACAGTGTTCGGGGAGATAACTCCTACAAAGAAAATTGTTCGGCTTAGAATGGGTGAAAATAAAAAGCGCATAAACTGTATGATATTATATAAGAAATATCTAAGCGACATCTTGCGAAACAAAAATTTTACGTGAGAACAAAATTAGGTGGAAGAAAAAAAAAATAATAATAATAATAAATATAAATCAATTGTTTTAAAAACAATTGTTAACGGTCTTTCCTCTCCGAAACATGATTGATTGATTAATTAATTGATTGGTTGGTTGGTTGGTTGGTTGGCTGATATAGTAATTAAACACATGGGATAGGGTCTCTTGGAACAAGCGAAAAAGAAACAAATGAGATATTGGGCCCCGTATTAAACAGATTGGTTGGTTGGTTGGTTGTTTGGTTGGTAGGTAGGTTGATTGATTGATTAGTTGATTGACTGATTGATTGATTGATTGATTAGTTGATTGACTGATTGATTGATTGATTGATTGAAAGTTTGCATGGCACTCTCTCTATGCGAGGTATCCGACTTAACGTTGATATTCTGAGCGAACGTGGCTGCGTATTTGTACATCTCGGACAGCCAAACGGACAGCCAGGATTTCCTTATGAATAAAAATCCTTATATCTTCATTTTATAAATGTTCTCTTTTTTTCTACGGGAACTCTGACTTCATGTTGTTTTCTTTTTATTTGTTGTGTGTGCATTTTATTTGAGCTGGTAGGAAAACTGAGAAACATTTTGTCGTGGAAGTTCCATTTTCTTTATTTGGATATGGAATTTTTTATTCTAAATTTAGGTCCGCGTGCGCGGTGGTGTTTGTGAAGTCACGTGACGCTCAAATATATATGTCTGGAGTTAGAATATTGATATCTTTTCAGGGGAGACCGTTGAACAGAGCACATGTGTATTGATCAGAGAAACACGATAACTATTGTTTTTATTTTGTACAGGTCATTGATGTCGGATCATGCATACATATTACGTACACATGTTTACGGGAGCACAGGTTTGTATTTTAATGCATGTTTAGAAATTTGATTGTAGGATTTCAGTAATATTTACGAACTTGGGAGGGATTTCTACGACATTGATTTTAATTTCGCAATCAAGCAGACCGCACGTGTCTCATCGATTAATTTCAGAAAATACATGAATTGTAGTAGATTTTTGAAGGGATGAATTTCTATTTCAGAAAGAAATTTGTACATAAGAAGGATTAGCATTTTACAGTATAATGTACAATACTAAAAGCGATTTTCTTTTCATAGAAATGGGATAACTTTAAAAAAAAGTCAGTTGAAAAAAAAAGGGGGGGGGGGGGGGAGTGTAGTGGTAGACTGTGGTTGATAATTGAGATAAGAAACATTTACAACATGATAGCTGCAAAGTTTGAAGTTTTGATAAGTAATTTGTTGATTCGACCATAACAGGGACATTGACCCTGCAATAAAATGACCCGTACCATTTCGACATAAAATTTCTGGTAAACACGTGTCGCGACAAACTTATTGGTTAAATTGTTTTGTCGATATCTATAACTCTTTCTAGGAAGAAGCGATATGAACTTAATGTAAATAATCACAGCATGACCTTGACCTTTGACCTTTGACCTTGACCTAGTTTTCTATTCTTTAGGACCAAGGACCTCAAATCAACAGACCCTAGGTCTCTATCACTTATTGTTTACCAGTTACAAATGCATATCACTTATTTCAAATGCATTAGGGGAAATAACTCTCATATGGAGTCTTCGTATTGCTTCGGTCAAAAAAGGACAAATCATGCAAAGGATATAACGAGCAATTTTATAAAATAAATTTGTCGCTTTCTTTTACGGTTACGGAGGAGATGCAGTCACAAGGAAAACAGTGTTCGGGGAGAAAACTCCTACAAAGGTCTTTCCACCCATAAAGATCTATTTTGATATAGAACTATTAAAATTTGGTTTAAAATATCATATCCAGCGTCAAATGATAGCTTATTGTACACTGATTCCAAAAATATATGGTTTCTAAACATTTTTTTTCTAAAAAAGGGAGATAAATTGTTACTTCCGGTTTGAAAAATGTCACTTCCGGGTTTTTTTTATAGTTTACTTGATACTGATTCCAAAAATATATGGTTTAATATACTTTTACATTAAATAAGTACAAAAAATAGCTACTTCCGGTTTACACATGGTCACTTCCGGTTGGCTTTTCCATGGTCAAGTGGCTTGCAACGTAATGCAAAAAGTCCCATGGCTTTATCATGTATACATACGAGGTAAAAGCAAAGGTCAATATCTAGAACGTCAAATTTACCTATGACCTTCAGCTCAATTTCAAGGTCATAAACCAAGGGCTTCAAATCAAAAGACCATAGGTCTTAATTATATATGGTTAATGAGTTATATCACTATATGCCTAATTTTTAATATAAGAGGGGAGAAAACTCCAATTTAATGTTATTGTACCCTTTCAACCAAAATTTATGTGTTACGACATGTCGCAACTTACAATTTAGTAAAAATATGTTGTCGATATCTTATACGGTTTTTGAAAAGAATTGAAAATAAGCCAAAATCAAAATTTAAAATATGACCTTGACCTCTGACCTTGACCTTATTTTCTTTTTTTTGGACCAAGGACCTCAAATCAAAAGATCCTAGGTCTCTATCACTTATGGTTTACAAGATAGAAATGCATATCACTTATATCAAATGCATAAGGGGAAATAACTCTCATATGGAGTGTTCGTATGGCTTCTGTCAAAATTGGACAAATCATGCGAAGGATATAACGAGCAATTTTATAAAATAAATTTGTCGCTTTCTTATACGATTACGGAGGAGATGCAGTCACAAGGAAAACAGTGTTTGGGGAGATAACTCCTACAAAGAAAAGTATTCGGTTACGCAGGGTGAATCTCAAAGGCGCATAAACTGTTCGATATCATATACCAAACATCTAAGCGACATCTTGCGAAACAAAATTTATACGCAAGAAATAAAAGTGGCGGAAGAAGAAGAAAAAAAAAAAATAATAATCAGAACAAATACAATAGGTCTTTCCACCGAAAAGAGGAAAGACCTAATAATAATAATAATCAGAACAAATACAATAGGTCTTTCCACAGAAAAGTGGAAAGACCTAATAATAATAATAATAATCAGAACAAATACAATAGGTCTTTCCACAGAAAAGTGGAAAGACCTAATAATCAGAACAAATACAATAGGTCTTTCCACAGAAAAGTGGAAAGACCTAATTATTTAAATTTGTATGAGGTAAATATACATATTCATATCATGATTTCACGCTAACAGTAGCCCAAAATGACAGTTTGACTCCTGACGGTAAAGGGCATTCCTACCCCCATAAATGGCTTAAAATTGAATTTAGAATTAAATATATGGAATGTCTATTATAGGGTTATACAGTGTGCTCACATTTTTTATGTTATTTCTTCACAGACAGAAAAAATGTCATTCCACAGATATTTTTCATACATAAAGAATCGTAGCCTGCATCAAGTCCACAAATTGAGGCATCTGATGTAACACTTAAAATCTGAAGAAGAGAAAATAAGGATATAAAATGAGCTTTCCATGCCAAAAAGAAAAGAAAAACAATAATTTTAACATACATACATTATTATTGGCAGCAGACTTGTGATCCATAAGACACCATTACTTTGCCCCACATGTTTATTGTGCAAGATGAACAAACAATTTTAATTTGAAAAAAGAAACGGGATGAAAAATTGCTGCAGATTCCCATATTCAACTATTCACTGTTGTATTAATTCATTTATTTTATGCGTGAGTTGAAATGTGGGAAATTGTGGACATTTTCTCTCTACTGTGTCATAGTAATTTTTTTTAAAAGAGGAACATTTTCTCATACAATATCAATTTAACATTAAGGCACGATATTGACTATTTAAAAAAGGGAACACAAATTTTTAATGGATAAATTGTGTACAAAAATATTTTATCAAGCTTTAACATGTGACCCTTATAATCAATCAAAAAATCTTTACCTTCTTGTATTTATGGATTGAAATATATATTTTGTCTTTGATACATAAAACTGGTATTTGTCAGTTAAAATGCAGTTTAAATATTTCTGATATATAGTCACTGACTGTATAAAGCCTCTTTGTGACATTGATAATGGTGATTATGTGTTTCCAAAACTTAATTAATTATCATATGATGCAGTAAAGGTATACTGGTTTATGGAATTTGCACCATGAAAAAACATGAAAGACTTAAAAACTAAGGAAAAATTGAATAATCACCTTTAAATCATTTGAATCAATCTCTGGAGGGGCTGGACCACCTCCAGTCTTTGAACTTTCTCTTCTCCTTTTTGCCTCTTTTTTTCTGGAATCACTTTGCATGTCTAACCATTTTTTTTTTCACTTGGGTCACATTTCTAGTTTCTATGTTGCAGGCATTTACACTGGAAAAGATGTGTAATTTTTAAAAACATATACATGTACTTGGTTTAAACAATATTTATTCAGATAAATCAACATTAAACGATATTATACAAATGAAATAATATTAAGGATTCAGAAACAAGCAATTTGCTTTTACAAATCTGTCTCCTTTTACAAAAAATAATACACTTATTGGACAATACATAAATATAAATACTGGCATGCTCTGTAATAAATATATCAATATGAAAAAAGGTGAAAGAAGAAGAAGAAGAAGAAGAAGAAGAAGAAGAAGAAGAAGAAGAAGAAGAAGAAGAAAAAAAAATAATTAATGAGAAAAAAAAAAAAAAAAAAAAAAAAAAAAAAAAAAAAAAAAAATAAAAAAAAATAAATAAACATGAATTATTGTAATCTATACGGTGTGAAATGCTTGGGTTTCTATTGAATGATGAAGCATTAACATCAAGGGTTAAAACATTTACTTTTAATAATATATTTCTGCACCAAACTAAATAAAAGACTATTTTGCTCATCCGAGAGTACCGTTGATCCAAAAAGCAAAGTTTTTGTGTTAACTTGGACAGGAAGAACTGAAACAGAATCTAATAGTTCATGTCTTAAATCAGTGTATATGGGACAAGATAACAGGAAGTGAGAATTTGTTTCTACATCACCACAACGACAATTTGGAGAGTCTACCAAATTACGAACGAATAGGTGAGAATTCAATGAACTTGAATCCATTCTTAAGCGAGCATGAAGAATTTGACCAAAACGATGTCCTATATAATAATACGCTGGGACCTTACAATTTTGGGTACTAATTTGTTTTTTGAATAATGATAGAGATTCACATTTTCTTATGTTTAAGTTAAGAGTGTTCCATAGTTTTGTTGTTGCTGGGATGAAATATTCAGAATATAAACGGGTCCGAGTATTGACTTGTGTAATATTATTTCTTTGTCTTGTATTATGATCATGCCTACTTCCTACTGAATCGGGCAATAAGTCTCTTAAATACTCTGGGGTTTTATTATTCAAAATTTTGTGATAATGAATTAATCTATGATTGCGTCGTCTTTCAGATAATTTTTCCCATCGAGTTTCAACATATAAATTGTTTATACTGGTAAGTTTAGTACCCCCCGTGACGATACGCGCTGCGTCAAGCTGAATATTTTCAAGTTTAGCAATCAAATTCTGATTTTGAGAGTCCCAAACGACATCGGCATATTCAAGAATTGGGCGAACAAATGATATGTAAATTTTTTCAAGTGTAAACCTATCAAGAACATTTTTCATTTTTCTCATTATATTTATTCTTTTATAAGATTTAGAAACTATGTATTCAATATGGTCGTTCCAGGATCCGTTGTTAGAAAAAAAGACACCTAGATGTTTGTGTTTACTTACTGTTTGTAGCTCTTGGGTATTCATATTTAATGGAGGATGAAAGGGTCTATTTATTTTTTTTGAAATTATCATACTTTCAGTTTTTTGGGCATTAAAATTCACAAGCCATTTTTTTGACCAATTATAAATCTTATCTAGATCGTTATTTAAAATTGTAGCTGTTTCTGTTGGATTGTCAACCATAATATACAATGAAGTGTCATCTGCGAATAGCTTAATTTGAGCTTGAATGTCTTCTATTATATCGTTTATAAATATCAAAAAAAGGAGAGGGCCCAGAATGGACCCTTGTGGGACGCCTGCATTTACAGGTAACCATTCGGAACTTGAACCGTTAATAACCACCCGCTGGACTCTATTTGTAAGATAATTTTCAAACCACCTTAGTAAAGAACCCGATATGCCCGCTTGTTGAAGTTTAAATAGCAGTCCCTTATGCCAGACTCGATCAAACGCTTTACTTATATCACAGAATACTACCCTTATTTCTTTACCGCTATCTAAAGCCTTCCCAAAATCATTTGAAATGTTAATTAATTGATTAACCGCTGAATCCCCCCGTGTAAAGCCTGACTGATTTTTCGTTAAAATATTATTACGCTTAAAGTGATTGTAAACATGTTTATATACACAACGTTCCATACACTTTGAAATTACACTCAACAAGGAAATAGGTCTATAGTTTTTAACGTCATTCGGTTTACTATTTTTATAAACTGGGGTGACATTTGCTCTTTTCCATTGATCTGGAAAAGTAGACGTACTTAACGATAAGTTAAATAGCTTACATAGTGGATACTTCAAAACAGAAGATGCTTCTTTTAACAATTTGGGACTTATGAGGTCTGGGCCAGAAGCTTTTGTGGGATTAACAATTTTCAATATATCTTCAACTTCAGTAACCGTAAGTTCTATATAACTAATGTCATCACTAATAGTATGAAGTTCTTCAGGTAACATAGCACTTGAATCATCAATATTTGACTGGGAAGAAAAAAATCGATTAAATTCATTTGCCTTTTCGATTTCATCAAATATTAAGTTGTTATTAACCATTAATGGAGGTATACTTGCGTCGTTTGTTTTTAATCCGGATATTTGTTTGACCGTTTTCCACCAATTAGTAGTGGACGGGTTACTGTTCATGATTTTTTTAATTAAATTGTTGTTATAATCATCCTTTGATTTTCTTATTAAACTGGTAACTTCATTTCGTATTTTCTTAAATTTTGACCAATCCGATTGGTTATTATATTTTTTAGCCTTTCTGTGGATTCTATTTTTTTTCCTTATCATTTTTTTAACATCATTTGTTAGCCATGGAGGTTCATTTTTACGAACAATTATTATTCTATTTGGAATACATTTTTCAGCAGCTTCTATGATAGTTTTTGTTATTTCGGTTGTAAATGTACATGTACTTCTGATAATACCTAATACTTCTTTTCAATTTAAATTTTAATAAACAGTTATACAGAGAACAAATGTCAGATACACCTCATTATTTTGCATTATAGAAAGTGTTGGAAGAATAAATTGGACAGTTCAGAAGCTTTCATATCAGAAGTAAGCAGAATGGTTTTTAGTAAATATATCTATCAAAAATAATAATGTAGACATTTGATTTAATTTAGTCTCTGGTGAGTTGTCATACCACATCTTCTGGTTTAATATTTATATAATAAAAAAATTTGAGCAAGATGAACTTCAACCTGCTAACAATGGCCTTATAAAAACTTGATTTTTTTTTCTAAATTTAGACTCTGAAATTATTCTAATTTCTTCCTCCCAAATTTTGACTAATTTAAATAAATTTTGAAAAAGTTTATATTTAGTGTGCAAAAACTGTTATATATTTTGTAATACACGTACTTGTACTGACAATTTGAAACAAATTAGATTATTAGTTTTATTGTACTAAATTTTCAGTTAGTTTTTTTTTCTGCTCTATTATGTTTGATATTCAATTAAAATTATTCTTGTTATTTAGAAACATGTTTATTTAGTTAATTTTATGAATAATTGTACTGCCTTATTTATATCAACATGATGAGAGTAACAAAAAAAAATGTATTTATGTTTTTACTTTTTATACGACCGCAAAAAATATTGGTATGGGTTTGAGTTTGGGGGTAATTGCCCTAAACGTGTAGGAATTTGGGACCAAAAAAGGGCCAAAAAACAAGCATTTTTCTAGTTTCCAGCCAATAACTTGTGTTCAAGTGTATGGATCTCTCTGAAATTGTACTGCAAGTACCATACCACAAACGGAAGGCTGGGATTGAGTTTGGGTGTGATGAATCATAAGGGGGTTCAAAAAATAAGGGGGGGATTTTTTTTTCTATTTTAAGAATTTTATGATGTATTTAGTCTGGTATTTAAATTGGTAAATATGGTTGCAAACTCCATTGGAAATTTGAATTCAGATTATGACCATATCTTGAGGGAAAGAATTTTTTTGGAAAAGGGGGGGGGGGGGGGGGGGGGAGGAGGAGGTGAAAACAAAATTTAGGGGGGGAGGGAGTAAAAAAGAAATTGTAGGGGCCATTTTTTTTTTCATTTCAGATTTCAGAAATTAAAAAGAAAATTTCTTCAAATATTATTTCTTTTTGCAAAAAGAGGGGGGGGGGGGGGGGGGGGTGTAAAATTTTTATTTGGGGGGGTGGGTGGTCAATACACAACAGCATAGTGTATTTCACAAAAGCAAAAAATTGAATATAAATTCAAATCATATAACCAATTCTTAGTTCTTTGACTACAGTTATTTGGTGTCAGAAACCTATTATGTGTCAAATATTTAATTACAATCCAAATTCAGACTGGTATCAAGCGCGAATATTGTGTCCATTTTTGCCACAACTGTTCAGGGTTGGACCTCTGCGGTCGTATCCAGCTGCGCTCAGCGAAGCATTTTATTAAAGTTGGCCGCATACTAGATCAGTGAATGTGCTACATGAAATGAGTCTCATTAAATAAAGTAATTATTATGGTCAATCTGTATTTGTTTCTTATTGTGACCCGATTCCGTAAAATAAGTAAACCTGATGCTTGTAAGTTCGTGTCTTGGACGGTGGATTTTGCGAATGTGCAACAATATATAGGTCAGGCATATTGTATTATGTATTTGAACATTACAGAATAAATTTGAGATCAAATAACAAATGAATATCTCGATAAAAAGAGAATTTGGGACATACTAACTTCTTTATTCTCCCTATAATTATTCTAATTTTTACACATGACTTTCAATGGCCAATTGGAAAGTCCAGAATTAAGCTCTTTAAACACATTTAAGCTAACTGTAACAATGTCACAATGTCATTTATGCATCAAAGTAATTTTTCGTTCAATTTGCATTCAGTGGCACAGGATTAAATCACTTTTACGAGCCAGTAATCGATATGTTTTGTTTAATCAAAATACATCAAATCATTTCCGATCTTAAAAAATCCGCTCACATACAGAATTTAAAAAATAATACTCTTGGCCTTCAAAAAGGAAAAATGAGTGCCAAATAACCTAAAATTAGATGACGACTCATTGTTGAGATGTCAATAACATTGCTGGAAGGATTTTCCCAAGAATTAAATGAAATTCTAGGAGAGGAAAAAATCAGTAATAGTTGAAATAGATGTTTAAACAAATAATATGCAAAAACATACACAAATTCTCTTTTTTAAAGCCAATATTAGTGAACATGAAATGAAAAATATCCGGTTAAGTTTATTTGAAGTAGCAGGTTGCCAATGATAAATACGTATGCATGACGTCACGAATAAAGTGGAAATCACGAAATGTCACGAACTTACATGTACAAGCATAACGAACTTGCAATCATCAACGATATATTATGATGTTCAAAGGACATATCGACAAAATAAAATATAATTCATTAATTGAAACCATTTCAAAAATATACCAGTACAGGAACTTTTACATACAAGTAAAAATGTACACATATGATAGAGTAAAGCTGTATGCTCAATTTCAATATTTTAATATCAACATATTGAAGTTAAGAAATATTATGTAGATGTGATGCCCACATATAATTGTTCCAACTAGTAAAGAAGTTCCCTTGGAAAATGTAATAATACACAAAGCCATAATCATGATAATTATAATATCTGTTGGAACAACTATTCTATACCCTTTATTTTATCTCTTAAAAGGTTATCTTGGGATGAAAAGATTGACATGAAGAAAGATACTTGATTTTGTTTACCTTTCTGTTATTGAATCTCAACATTTATTTTTGTCAGCATTACGATAGTAAGAGACGGTGAAAATTTCCCCTTAATTATGCCAATGTTTTCTGTTACTAGACTTATAAGGATTGAGGTCTCTTCTTTCGACCACCGGCAGGCCTTCCCTGAACTAGCAACAGAATCCATCTTCAAATGTCTTGAAATGATGTCGTCTGCTCGGAAATCTTTCATGAAGCACATTTCGCGGATTTTTTATTATTGAAATGTTCATATAACAAAAAAGATACTCAACATACTTACCTGAAACCTTTCCATTCTTATATAACCTGCTTGTCCAACTTTAAAGAACTGTATAAATAAACCAGAGACATATTTTTTGTCGATAAACTGAGATTATTCACTGTCAACACAGTAAACTGGACCCCTGTTGTGTTCACTTATCGCTACACTGACAACAGGTACGACCTAAATCCCGAATTCTAGACAGTTCGGTACCCAGATATCCTGGTTCCCGGTACTACGTTCCAGGTATTAGCTAATAGCCATACGCTGTCACGAGGTTCCGGTAAAAATGGACCGGAAGTCGGCATCTGGGAGTCCGCCTCATGTAAACAAAAGCTCTAAATTTTGGACTTAGAAGACAGAAAATAAGAAAATGACTTTGCACATTTCTGCAAAAAAGTTTTTTCTTTAATTTAATGTATTAATGATTCAAATTGGGACACAGACGAAAAATGTGCAAACGATTTAATCCAAGCACATCCAACTTGTCTTACAAAAAGGGCTTGACTTATGTGGGTCAGACTAGGTTTAACTGTCAACGCTAACCACTATCCTACAAATTATGCCTATAGACTTCCTAAATAAGTATTAGACAAGATATAATGCAGAACAAATTCATTTTTTTATTTGCTGAATCATCGAAATAGTCTAGTAATAACTGTATGACGGGCTACAATGTAAGTGTTGAAGTTTTGAAGCAAAATTATGTGTGAGGAAATGTCCATATTATACTTATACAAATGAAAAAAATGAGGACAAGCTGTTCATCAGACGGAACTTACACATATGGTCACCTTTTCACCTGAAAATTTACTATGGGTGTAGACAAACTGGTGCATACATGAAACTGAAATTTTAAGGCATGACATGCCCCATATACATGTAGGAAAAGGTTGTATATCAGTTAGGGTAACTAATGTAAAAAAATCTTGACATTTGATGTGCATTTTTTCCCCAATATGCAGAAGAATACAAAATAAACAAACACATGAGTTTCATTTGATATGGTCCACTCTATATCATGTTATATGTTCCCAGTTAAGTGTGTTTGCAGTCTTCATAAATGAGTTAAATGCACATGTAGTGAATGGTTTATATTTTATTTTTATCTGATCCCCAATTATTTTGAATTAATTTATGAAACAAATTCATCTGGTCATTTGACATGTTTGATGCCATTGAGATCCTTCAGCAGCTGCTTACAGAACTATTTAAAACAAAACAAGAACTTATTAATAATATTCAATAATACAATAATAATAATAATAATAATAATATTATAATCCAGAACACAGGGATTCATGACTAATTTGGATTAGGTTGAAGTGTGTTACTTGCAAAATTTTGACAATTTTATCATTACATTATCATGATTATTATCCATGGATTATATTTACTACCTTCAATTTGTATTAAACCTTATTTTATAACAATCATACTAATCATTAATAACCAATTATTTTGTTATTTTATTTAGTTCAAATATTATGTTGTATTGTATGTAGACTTTGTTTTGTAATTACAATGATTATTCTGCTCAGAAATTGGCGCCCTGATTTGCACAATAAAATATCTGGTATCTGGATATAGACACAATCCCAGATTAAAAGTTGAACTGCAAAGGCTTATTTCTTTTTTTCTTTTTTTAAACTCTTTTAATTTCAGTCAGGGGTACTACTTGTACAAGTAATTTTTATTTCTTGAAAAAGTTATTATAATATACTTATATAAGTAAATTTGTAGGATACTTATACAAGTGTATTTTATTTACTTGTATAAGTAAATTATTTTTTGGCCTAGTTATGTCCCTTAGACATTCAGATATTTTTACTTATACAAGTAAAAAAGTCATCCTATCTTCTTTTCTTGAATTCTTTGAACTTCTTTGCTCTAACAGAATTTTGAATTGTCTGTCCTTTGCAATCAGTTTCTTTGTTGAATTAATGAGATGAAACATTGAACTCTTATAAAAAATTATGAGCTAACCTGAGAAAAATTGTTAAAGGCATGATTTTACATCTCAAAACTTGAGAATTTTTGTGGGATTGTAAAAAAAATTTACTTATACAAGTAAATTTTTTAGAAAATTAAGGGGAGATTATTCAAACAATATAATTAACTTGTATAAGTATATTTTATTTACTTCTTCAAGTAAATAAAGATTACTTGTACAAGTAGTACCCCTGACTGAATTTCTTAATATTGATTTAAAATTCTGAAGAAATCAATTTCACAAGAATCTTTCTGGGAGTTTGAAGGAAATCATTCCACATTTTAATTTGTACCAGAAGCTTTAATCGTACATTTAATAATTAAAATGAATTTCAAAATATTAACGATTAAAATCACATGTTGACTATGATAATTTAAACAAAGAATAAGCTTCATGTAGAGTAACCAGAAGCTTTCTAATTTTACAATCCAATTATTACTTAAGCAAGCACGTTAGAGTCTAGATGTCAGCAGTGTATTTCAATTCCAGGATAGTAAAAGCCGGATCTAGCAAACCAACATTTATAGTAATACAATGAAAGACTATGCATTTACCATATATGGAGCTTCTTAAAAGGGGCGTGACTCCTCCCCACAAAAAATCTGCTTCGGCAAATTTAAATCTATGTAGCTGTACGGTTGAGCTTATGTAATACAATCAAAGTTATATACATCTCAATAACTGAAAATCAACCCATATTTTTCACTAAAATATGGCATATTTATAAGAATATATTTCTTAATGAACACATTTATATATTTTTTTATACTTTATTTGTTTGGTTGTTTGTTCTAGGAGCAAATTTTTGTTCATTTAAAAATATAGGACAACAGAGTTGGTGTACGTGGGTTTGATTCCCACCCTAGGCATTCATTTATATCAGCTGGTGCAAAGCGGGCAGTTTAGCTTAGTGGCCCCACACTGACTCTCTTGTTTCAATGTAAAAAAAAAACAGACAACCAGTCGCTATTTTTCTTATTGAAGACAACAAAACCATGGTATAACTGTGAAAATTATATCAAAGATAGCTATGGTATAATTTTTTAATAAGGTTAATACTTGGGTTGCATTCCCATAGGTTCCATTATACAGCTATAGGAAGTCATGATCATGATGATAACCCATGAAAATACAATTGACTTTTGATAGGTATATACATGATATACAAGACATGTTACTTGGAAGTATGTGGCTAAATTCAGTGAAATTCAAGCTGCTGCCACATTATTTGGATGCAATATAAATATTTGGCTCCCACAGGCCCCTGTATATTTTATGCATCAGTTTAAACCTGATCAAAACCTTTTCAATGATATACTTTTATCAGGTGCACATTTCAACCCTTTAAATAAATCAACACCTACATGTATGGCTATACCACTTTTACCACTGCAAATTAATTTACAATCGGTATGATGTTCTTGCTGGTCAAATATATATATGAGATGCAGGATACAATATGAATACCCGACTAATTTAGAGAGATTAAATAATTTAACTAACAGAAAGCATTGTTTCACTTTGCAATACAAATTTAAAAAAACAGCTAAAAGTACAACTTTTAAATATTAATGAAAAAGACATCCCAAATCCTCCACCTCTTCATAAAAATTAACAATTTAATAAAGTTATGGATTGTAATCATAGTTTTTAAATTAAACAAATGTCTTGAAGTTATTGTTTTAAATTATGTAACATTTGCAAAGAAAGAAAAATTGATATGAAAATGGCACAAGATAATGAATGTAAGCATCATTTAGATAAATCACCAATAAAATTATTTTCAGCAGAAAACAATATGGACCCTTAAGTACAGCTATTTATAAGAACCAGGCAGAGTGTGATATATGAGGGTTTCAGATTTTTTCTACAAATTGCCTGGTATAAGCAGTAAATGAATAATGCTCAAAAATTAAATTTGAGTGGGAAGATATGAGTGGTTGCCATGGTAACAGAGTAAACAGACACTCTATTTTTTGAAAGTTAAGCATGGTAAAATCTTTCAAAAATCAGCTAAATCACTACAATTCAGAGCCTGATCAGTCAGGGCTCTGACATAAACAAGTCAGAATTAGGTGACTCATGTAAGTCAGAATATTTGGTGTCATGAGTTACCTCCCATCATTTTTAAACAAAAGCTGACTTCTACAAGCATGACAAGTCAGATGAAATATTATGCAATTTTTTCCTCAAAACAAAAATAATTTTTTTTTGACTTCTACAAGTCAGAAATATACCTAAAATGTTAACCTTTTTGGGCCATGCACCCATATTTAAAAGTTAAGAATCCACATGACAATGTTAAAAATGCCGTCCACAAACACTTTTTTATCAACAAAAAATATGAATAAGACCCTAAAAAAACGGAATCATATGAAATTAACCATTTTATGTACTTATGTATTTGTGATAAATTGTAAAAAAGATTTTGTATAAACAATGGATTTACTTGAAAACCAGCATGAAAAGATAGATTTTGGTATTGTTATGCATCATACAAATATTCATGGTAACTTACTGAAAAGGTTTGCTACAAATCTTAAAATACTGAAACTTCACAATCCACTAAACATAATCTGACCTGAATAAGTCGGGCACATTCTGACTTTATAAAGTCTAAAAATACTGTTACTCCTTTGTAAAAATGCATAATCTGACTTGCACAAGTCTTGACAATTCTGACTTGTTTATGTCAGATCTCTGACTGCTGATTACGAATAGAATCAAACTTTTTTCATAAATTTTCATATATAACATTGATATAACTTGATTTAAGCTTCATTTCAGATAAGATTGCATGTCAACCAAATTTATGATTTTTTTGTAAAAATTTACCAAAAAAATGCATATTTTCAACTTTTCTGAATTGTGGATTTTTGTGAAATTATCAAATTTTGTCGTGTGTTTTTAAAGAAAAGTGCAAACGTGTACAGCATAGTTAGCATTGT